TATATATATATAATAGGTATTATAATAAGCATGCATTTTTTTTTATGTCTGTCAAATGAAATTTAAGAGAAAATTCAATAATAATATACCTCTGATAAACCTGTTCCAGCAACTGAATTTTCTATCAGAATTCTATGCCCATCTGCTGAACAAGTTATTCAAGGAAAATATAAGAAGGCATAATAATACATAATTGTTTTTTTTTTTAATTTATTTAGTGTAAAAGATTAAGCTTCATAAAGTAAAAGGAGAAAAAAAGAAGAAGAAAAATTTCACATTATTTATGATAGTTACCAGCTCTTAATATTTGCTCAATCATGTAGACAAGAACAATAATCACTACTTAATCATATTAAACTATTAACTTTGATATCAAGTGTTTAGGGAAGCATGAAAGTAAACAAATAAATCAAAATTTGAATTGATAGATAGCTGATTAAACTCATTTTCACACAAAAATCCTTTACTTCAAGATATATTTTAGACTTCTAGTATTGTTTCACCAACATGTTTTTCATACGTAGGATTAAGCTCGAGTTTTTAATGTCTTAGCAGACAAAAAATACTGCATCACTCCAATCAGGATCTGTCACGTGTACAGACAAACACATCTTAGTAAAAAAATAATTAATTTATTACATAGGAGGGTCTGTCTGTACACATGGCAGACCCTGATTGAAATCCTGACATAAAACTGCATCAGTGCTTCTGATGCAATATTTTTTCCTTAAGAGAACTACACATCTCAATGTAATAGCCAATATTAGTTAAAAAAGAAGAACACCACTTTAAGAGCAAAAGGTAAACTAATACAAAAAAATCAAACCTAAAGTGCAAACTGAAAGCAATAACGTTGAAATTATCATGAAAAGAAGAGTAGTAGACTTTGGAGCCATGAAACCCTAGGAAACTGAAGTTTGAAGCTCTCTCCTCTCCCATAAACAGGACCAGACTGCAACTTATAGCTCTAAAAATCAGATATTCCAAGGTGACAGATGATGATAATTTGAGAGATTATAATTTATTGTGATAGTGTGCAGCCCACTATGAGTTGTACCTCCAGGTTTGTTTAGAAAAAGAAGAAAGAAGAGATAGAGAGCCATTATCTCTTTGCCGTCTGACTAGATAGGCAGTGGCAGAATGCATACATACATATATATATATATATATATATATTCTTTTTTTAAGAAAAAAAGAAACCAGTATTTCGAAGAGAATACCGATTTCCCATGCGCTATGTCCCATGATGAGAGCCCGAGCTATAAGCCTAAATATTCAAGGACCCAGCATCGCTAAGGATCGAACCCGTGACCTGAGAGGACTTACAGTGAACTCCGCCAACCAATAGATCACGGCTTGTGGCGCGCGTGCGTGCACACAGATATATATATATATATATATTAGTAAGAGGCTATGATACGAACCCCTAACCAACCTCATGTTATTAATCATTCATCCCCGCAATGCAAGTCAGATGCACTCAGGCGGACTAGAACTCGTGGAGACTCACGACTGACAATCTAGCTGCCAACCAAAGAGCCACAGCGTGTGATAGAACGACATATATTTATCTAAATTACATAAATAAGTTTCACTTATCGTAAAGTCCACTACTGCTTCTCATGATAATGATTTTATTTTAATAAGTATAATAATATGGCTTTGTTTAGCTTTTATAAGATAATCAGTAGCAATTTGAATTAAATAACGATTTTTTTGACAAATAAATTCATACCAACAAATAATGAATGAGTTATGGATTATGAATAAATATCATCTGGTGATTAATAAAATAGCATTTAAAATTATAATTATCATTAATAATAACATAAATTTTAAACATTTTATCTTAATTACATTTAAATTTTATTTTTGTTACATTATTTTAAATATTATTTACGTTATATTCTCCTACTTGTCCCATGCAATATTTTTAATTTAACAAACATAATATGTAGTATGTGTTAAATTTTTTTTTTATTTGGGTCAAATTACATATTTATTATTAAGCAAATAATAATAAGAATCATGGTACTATGATAGATTTTTTTTGTGTATCAAAATATTAATTTTATACTTAATATAATCTATAATGAGAAATAATCATAATAGTTCTACAATAATATCTTTGTTTAGGACAAATACTATTAACATTCATACTATTCATACATATATATACAAATCATAAAAATGAAATAGAAAGTTTTAATAAATTACAAATAATACTACACTAGATAGAGAGTTAATCCATAAAAAGCATAAGATATAGTATAAATCGTTAATAATTTTCATTAACTGCTTTATATTATATCTTTTGGCATGTTCAGTAAATGTCATTGGTGGCAATCTCTTAGTTAATAGATCTGTAATTCATAAGATTGATGCTAATATGCTCAAATAATAGTCTTTGGTAACGTCAAAGTATTTTAATTTCACATGTTTAGCACCCTTTGAGTACTTATGATTCTCTGAGAAGAAAATGGATGCAACATTATCACAGTAAATTTTCAGCCATAATCCAAGCATAGTGGCCTCAAAACATGCCACAAACTCTTCTTCCATGGTGAATGCAAAAATGACATGCTGCTTCACACTCTTCCAAGAGATTGCTCCTCCAGCTGGAAGAAACAAATAATTGAATATGGAATTTGAAGTATCTGTACATCTATCAAAATCTGAATTTGAATATCCTATCACTTCAAGATGATTAGAAATTTTACAAGTGAGCTCTTACTCCTTGCAGATAACTTAGAATTTTTTGATAGCTTTCCAAAGATCAATTCCATAATTGTTTTGATACTTACGCAACATATTAACTACAAAAGTAATATACGGTCAAATGCAAGTTTGAGCATACATCAAACTCCTAACTATCGATGCATAACAAATTTGCTCCATTTATTTGTGTTTTAATTCATTCTTTGGGCATTGCATATGGCTAAATTTATCTCCATTTTGAATAGGAAAAATTTCTGACGCATTTTTCCACCTTAAATCTCTTTAAGACTTTGTTAGTGTATGTCTTTTTAGGTAATCCTAATAATTCTTGTGAATTGTCAATAAATATTTCAACTCCTAAGCACAAGAAGCATTCACCATACCTGTCATTTGAAAGCTTTTTAAGATAAATCAAGATCATTAGTTGCAAGCAATATATAATTAACATAAAGTAAGAAAGAAAATTTCTATATATATACATACATAGATACCAATCTTTAATTAAAAGGAAGTAATAATATCATTGAAACTAAGATACCATTATAGGGAAGCTTGTTTAAGTCTATATATTGACTGCTTAAGTTTACGCATCATGTGTTCATTTTCTTCAGCTAACAATCTATCTGGTTGATCCATATACTAAATCCTCATTAGAAAAAAAATTGTTTTTATATTCATTTAATGTAGCTCTAAATTATAACGAGCTACTAATACCATAATAATTCTTAGTGAGTTCTTTTTCAAAATAAGGATAATATCTCTTTATAATCATCACCATCCTTTTGAGTGAAATCTTTGGCAATAAGCATAGCCTTATGTCATTGGATATTGCAATTTAAGTTATATTTGGTCTTAAAGAGCTACTTACAACTAACTCTTATGAGCACTTAGGCAATTCAACAAGGTCCTAAACCTTGTGCCCTCTTCATTCATTTAGTCTAATCACTTATCAGAATTATTACTTTCAATGACTTGTGAAAATGAAAAGAAATCTTTCTCAAATCCTAAGTCCAACTCTAACTCTTGCAAATGGACCACATAATTTCAAATAAATATTTTCTTGTTCGTTGAGAGATTCCTGAAGCAATGTTTTTTTTTTATTGGTTTATCGATTCTAAGTACATTAGTGATAACTTCATTTTAAGAGGGCACAAGGTTCAAGTTTCTGAAGCTTAAGATGTTGGCTAAGTTAAATTGTTTATTGTTTAATGTTTAAAAATATGTTTAATATATATATATATATATATATATCTCTGTGTGTCTGTGCCTCCAGCCTTGACCTGTTGGTTGAGCAGCCACTTTAAAGGGTTTGAATTCCCTTTTGGCTAGTTTGCCCGTAGTGAGGGCGGTCTTTGAATAGTTAGACACATGAGTGACTGAGGGCTCGTATAATAGCCACTAACCATTAATTTATAAAAAAAATTATATATATATATATATAAAAGATTGACTAGGCGTCGCGTACTCAGATCAATTGGTCGGGCATCTACTTGACAGTTGTAAGTCCCATCTGGTCTGATGTTCGATTCCCCCTGAGTGTAGTGTGTGGTACTCGAATTCTAGGCGCATGGGGATGGCCGGAGCTCGTATAATAGCCTTTGACCATCCTTTGGCGCGGGCGCGTTTGCACACTTATATTTATATATATGATAAACCAACCCCATGTGCATAAGAATTTCATTCCATATATAGGCAAGATCAAGCTCATGACCTCAGAAGTCATACATCCTCTGTCAACCAAAGAATCACGGTACGCGACGCGTGCACGCGCACACACAAATATATATATATATATATATATATATATATATATATGTATATATAAAGAAATGACCTGAGCCTATTATACGAGTCCCGACCATCCCCGATGCGCCTAACAATTTGAGTATCACACTCTCCACCGGGGAGAATCGAACCCCAGACCAGAGGGGACTTACAATCAACAAGTAGATGTCAGACCAACTGATCTGAATACGCGACACATGTATATATATAATTAGGAGTTTTAGCTCCATCTTCTTAACATTTTATTTATCTGACATAATTCAATTTGAATATTTTAAAAATAGACATGGGTAGTTTATTTATAAAGAAAGGAGCTTTGATGGGGACACCACACCGGGCTCACTCTACTGTCTAAAAGCTTATGGTTCGCCGGCATTATTCGTCCCATATTATTTTGATGTTTTAGTGGGTTGTCTTTATTAAAGTTTGTTTTTTTTTTAATGTACTTTTAATTATTTAAAGCATATCTGTTCTTAAAAGAGAATAAATATGATTCCGTAGCCTTGAATGATAACACATGTAGGATTGTCAAAAAAAGTCAGTCGTTCACGTGCAGCTCGTGTTCGGCTAGCTAAGTAGCTCGTGTTCAGCTCGTTCATTAAGTAATCGAGCCGAGACAAACAATTTTTTTAAGCTCGAATTAATAACGAGCCGAACTTTTTGTTCCCTCGTGTTCGGCTCGTTTTAACTCGAAATTTAAAAAAAAAACATATAATTATTTATATAACAATATATTATATATATTTATATCTAAGTTTTAATCATAACAGCTCATGTGGTAATGTAATTATATGTCTTCTTTTGCATAAATTTGGTCCAGATTTTAATCCAACACTGAACATCTATTTTTTTTCCAATTAATTTTAACGAGCCACTTTCGAGCCGAACACGAACACACTGTTTACGAGCCAATTTGGAACACGAGCCCAGCCTAAGCTCGCTCAAGCTCGGCTCGTTTAAAGCTCTAAACACATGCATTTTCATTAAATGAATTTATTTAAGGGGGCATTTACATACATACCACACAATTTCTACGTATACATATTGAAAATATAAAGTTTCGTATTTACATAACGCTCAAATCATTAATATGAACTCAAAAATACCATTACTTACATAAAAAACTAATAGTTTTCAAAATGTATCTTATAACAGGAAGATTTACATTCATAACACTTAATTCCAATGTATTTACGTATCAAACACAACTTCAATTTGTGTATACAAGTGCCAGATGTGTAAATACATAAGAATTGGGTGGTATGTGTGCAAATAACTCTTTATAATATCATGCAATCAAATAAGCCGGTTGCAAAATTCTCATGCAAGAAATACACCTGGAAGAAAAAAGATTATTAAGCTGTTCTATCCTCCATAAATGGAAAAAATGTTGGGCCCGATCGACGAAGACATGAATCGCAGCATATAGTTCGCTCGACGATGTGGTGCAATCCACATTGCTGTCTAGGGCCGTCAAAAAAGCTCGTTGTTCGCGAACAGCTCGTGT